AAAATGGCTCAGAAACCTCAGACTTGGTATCACTGCTTTTCTCTGCTGTCATCTCTGCGTGGCCATGTTGCCCGGACCACCTGTCATCCTCTATATCCTCAGCCAATACTGACCGATAGTGACTTGGTCACCAGAAGAAATCTTTACTAGACAGTTATACCGCTAAGCATTCATAAATATAAAAAGTATACTATTTCTTCCTGAGAAGGAACCAAGAATCTGGGGTACGGAGGTAATTTCATATCAAAGAAGAGAACAGGAAAGAGGTAGGTCCAAGCGGAAGTAAAAGAGAAAAATCATTTCAATGAATGGCCTGCTGTTAGTGCAGGGGGTTTTAAATTAATGCAAATCTGATTTCAAATACTTGTCTACAACATAAATTACAGCATATGTGGGAATAATTAAATTAATAATTAATTAAAGTAAAACTACATTTGCAAAGGAAAATAAGGAAAGGAAAAATTCTTAAAATGTTAACACAGAAAGTTAGAATATGTATATATAAATATATTTTGAGACAGAGTCTCATTATGTCCCCCTTGGTAGAGTGCTGTGGCATCACAACTCACAGCAACCTCAAACTTTTGGGCTTAAGCAATTCTCTTGCCTCAGCCTCCCAAGCAGCTGGTGCCCACCACAACTCCCAGCTAAAAAGTTAAAATGTTATCACCATTATTCCTTTAAGAATTATGTATAGGCTCCCGCCTGTATTCCTAGCACTCTGGGAGGCCAAGGCAGGTGGTTTGCTTGAGGTCAGGAGTTCAAGAAGAGCCTGAGAAAGAGCAAGACCTTGCCTCTAAAAAAAAAAAAATAGGTGGGTATTTGGAGGGCCTCCGTTGTCCCAGCTACTCAGACAGTTGAGGCAAGTAGATCATTTGAATCCAAGAGTTTGAAGTTGCTGTGAGTTATGACACCACCGCACTCAACCCAGGGTGACAAACTGAGACTCGGTCTTACAAAAGAAAAAAAAAAAAGAATTATGTACAGTATTAGATAGCAATTGAAATGGGCTATCTTCAAAGTAAATCTATTCTTAAGATTTAATTTTAATTGGAAATATGAAGATTATTGTAATTGAAAAAATGAAAGAAAGAATAAGAGAAAATTCTCAAAAATTTAAAATCTGGGATCTGATGTATTGCAAGGTATAAATATGTACTGTGCTTTTAGCTACAAAACACTAAAAATAAAAGACTTTTTCCTTGTGTCAACAGATCAATAGTGCCTCAGAATTGAGAATAACCATGGGCTTTATAGAATGAATGGGTAAAATAAATGGAAGAATAGACTAATACGTGTCAGTAGGAGCCAAGATCCAAAACATAATGGTCATTCATTCGACAAAAATAAGCTGCACATCTGCAACCCGGTCGGGACTTAGCTGGGGTATTAAGGATACAAGTAGCGGCCAAAGCACAGTAAATGCCTGCAGCATTCACACAGCTAGGACTAGCTTGCACTTGGTGGACCCATTAGCACAGACCAGACCAGAGAGTGCATGTGAAAAGGTGAAACCAGGGAGAACAATTAGGAGGCTATGGCAGGACACCAGGTGGTGATGGAGCAGTGTGAGAGACGTGGATAGTTTCTGGATATATTTGGAGAACAGCGCCGATAGAATTTATTGATGGGGAGGCCACAGGTGGGAGGGAAAGAAAGAGAAGAGTCACTGAGGCCTCTGGGGTTTTAGCCACGCAACTATGGAGAAGTTACCAGGGCACAAAGACGCAGGGGACAGAATAGGGCTAGACAGACTGAGTGTCCCCTTCACACTGATGGGATTTATAGCCATGGGATTCAATTTTCACCCTGAAAGTTCTATAACATCGAGGCCTCTGGAAGCATAAAATGTATTAAACTCTAACTTCCATAAAAGTGTAAGTTCAAATATCAATACAGTATATGTACTTATAATGAGGTCCTTCTAAAGGTAAATCATTTTAATCAATTAGTTTTTCATAAATACTCTTTCAATGATACACTGTTGCCACACTGACTTACTGAGCTTTTTCTGGAAAGACATTGGGCTGGTTCCCATTCTAAATTATACCAAATCAATACTGCATTGTGTTTGAGAAACACAATGAAATGACACAGATAACAATATATTATCTGTCTGTATCAGAAGGTAGTTTAATCTCATAAGATAATGTATATCTGCCCTTGAGTTAATAACAGTATGAAACAATTTACATTGATTTTTGCGTGTTTTGTAACAGTTTAGATGTTTCCAACATTGACTTTTAATTAGCTCTATCAAAATCTTTTTTTAAAGTGTTCTTCACCCTATTTTAAGAAGAAAAATTTCGTTTTATCACCAAGTCTCATGTCAACTCAATCTATCAGCTTTTTATATTACATATATATGACTAAAAAAAGAATATTCATAGTTAAAAACTGAATTCTTTTCATTTTGTTTGGTACCAAAATATTAATATTTTCCTAGACTACCTCTTATCATGAAAATAATTACTTTATATTTTATAAATTTATTACTGAACCATCATAGCATACTTTCCTTTCTTTTAAGAGCTTAGATTTAAGAGTAATACATGAAAAGCGAAGAAACCACAGACAAAATCTCTATAGGTTAGTTGCTGAGTGTGCCTTTTAATACTTGCTTAGGAATATAGTAGGTGATTTTTTTAAGGCATATTATAAATATCCCAACATACTACTTGCTCATTGGGACAAACATGGACCCCTCGTAGGTCTAATTATTTGATAGAAGGAAACAAAGACAGTGAGACAATAAACTAATCATTTTAAAGTATAAAAAAAGAAAACAGTGGCTGAGAGTGGTGGATCCCACTTTGTAATCTTAGCACTCTGGGAAGCCAAGGTGGGTGGATCACCTGAGCTCAGGAGTTTGAGACCAGCAGGCATAGTTAAAAAAAAGGCTCAGCGCCTGTGGCTCAAGTGGCTAAGGTGCCAACCACATACACCTAAGTTGGGGGGTCCGAATCCAGCCCAGACCCGCCAAAACAACAATGATGGCTGCAACCAAAACATAGCTGGGCGTTGTGGCAGGCACCTGTGGTCCCAGCTACTGGGGAGGCTGAGGCAGGAGACTCGCTTGAGCCCAGGAGTTGGAGGTTGCTGTGAGCTGTGATGCCACAGCACTCTATCCAGGGGGATAGCTTGAGGCTCTGTCTCAAAACAAACAAACAAACAAAAAAAAACTACCAACTTGACAGGCACCTGTAATCTCAGCTACTCAGGAGGCTGAGGCAAGAGGATCTTTTGAGCCCAAGAGTTTGAGGTTGCTATGAGCTACGATGCCACGGCACTCTACCCAGGGCAACAAAGTTTGAGACTCTGTCTCAAAATAGCAAAAGAAAAGAGAAAAAAAGAAAAACATCTATCAAGGAGTCCTCAAACTTTTTAAACAGGGGGCCAGTTTACTGTCCCTCAGACCATTGGAGGGCCGGACTGTGGGCCCCGGGACAAGTTGGCTGCTAAGCAGGACAGAGCGGTGGCAAAAACACCTGGGCTGGATAAATGTCCTAGGCGGGCTGCATGTGGCCTGCGGGCCGTAGTTTGAGGATGCCTGGATACCCACATTCACTCTATTTCCTAATATAATCTAGTATACTTCTTAATTTAGTTGCTAAATTTATTCTGAAAAGACCAGC